GAGTTACATGCCCGAAGAAAAAGCGTCTCGACTAGCTGCTGAGACTGTAGGAAGCGTAATTTCTTTCGAATCAATTAATCTATCTGGCAATTCACCTCCGTCACAGATTAGCAGGGGAAGGATAACTGAATTTTGTTGTTTGGGTTTATAACTTTTTAAAACTCGTGAACACAACCACAAGTTTATGTTGCAGATCGTTTCGGTATCTATAAATAGATTATCAACACTGCGCGTGGCGCCTTTACTTATCCGTTGGCGTTGTTCCAATTTAGTTCAATAATCTGAAAACATGGGTTTCTATCTTTTAATGAATTAAGAGAATGGTAAATAAAAAGCAGAAAATATTTCCCGTCTACTACTTCATGCACCTTATTTGTCTGTACAAGTAATGTAAACAAATCAATCACAGCATAACCTATTTGATCTTATTTGTAAATCTGGAAAAGGTAATTGGGCTTGTAAACAATATGTTTCCATGGACGTATCCGGGCATACCCAGAAGCAAATATTCAACAGCTGATCTGCAGCAACTCTCAGTAAAGTTTCTCTTCAAAATCTGTACACCATGATAAAATTACACTGAATATAAGGAAATCATTTTTAATTTCATTTCCATTTAATTTTTTCTATATGTACTTTGTTGTGGAATCCTAATTTACATACAAACTTCCACAATACTGGACTTCATGAACTGCCAGCGTTTATGTACAGGTATGTCACAGCACCAGAACACAAAGAAGATCCAAGATACAGTCTGCACCTGTACACTAGCTAACCCATCTTCCAGAAATAGGAAACATGTGATGCAAAATTTTGGAACAGAGAATCCACAGTTATTCGAACAATTAACTAGCATTAAAATAGAATGTTACACAATATAATGTAGATCTATTGTTTTTTCATCAGAGATGTTTAACTACTAACTACTAGTGTAAATAAGGTGCAAAAAATATATCCTTTGCTCAAAGCCTGTCAATACAATTACATATTGATATTATTGCTTCTTAATTAAACAATGATAATCTTTGTTTTATTAGATCTGAGACCATTTCCCTAGAGGACATAACACTGATTTTGATCTATTTCCTTTTCTGAAATACTTACTGGTGTCATAAAAATTATAGTAAAGTTGATTCAAAATTTGGTAAAAGTCATAACAAAGGTTTAGGAAAACAGACATGAAAATGTCCCGAAGCGTTCACCTCCTACAAACCAGTGTGCAATTTAACATGAAGCTCATTTTGCAAATAACCATCAACAAACCTTGAACAATTTGTCCAAATCCACCATCTTAATAAACACTAGCTTTGGCTCAGTCTTCAAATATTAGTAACCTCCTAAAAAACTTATGATTTATCAGAAGAATTACATCAAATATGGGTTAAATATATGTTTCAATCTTTATTCCGTTACATGAAAAGTCACCTGAGATTTTTGTAAGTTATTCTGTTCCAGGACTGGATAATGCCTGACCAGGGTTTGACCAAACGTAGCCTTTGCTTTTCAAATTTTCTGGATGTTGAAATAACTTTAATGAGTTATGATACTAGCAATCACTTTCAGAATTATCTTATTAGTAAATGTAGTATTTAAAAAAAACATCTAAAAGCAGGAGCCAAGAAACTAAGTTAATACCAAGTGATTGTCCTGCCATGATATGTATGGTGTTTGTTTGCCTAGTTCTGCCTTAAAATCTAAAAAATCCGATATGTCAATCAATTCAATAATTATTTATTATTGAGTAGATTATTAGTATTAATTTTATTACCCTTCAACGTTTACTAAAAAAAGCAAGATTCTTAAAACATACCTTGCCATCATTTCCAGTGAATTAATCAAAATTACAGTTGTAATATTACTCCTAAAATGTACCATTATATGTGAATAATTTATGTGGTAACAAAACTTCAAATAATGTTCTCATAATTAAGATATACACTTTATTTCACTCCGTCCAATACTCTAGAAAGCCACTATTCTTCTCACAATGTTTTCGTATTCGATCAACATGGAGGATGGTAATTCAGTTCAAAGTCCCATGCAACTCTTTATAAAAAATCTGAAATAGTTCTTTCATGTAACAAGTTTTGCTATTTCGGTTGACCCTAACCGAAATGAAGATTTGTTTACATTGTGTCACGGCTTTCTCGCTTGTCTCATTTGAGCTTTATGGCGTACCAACTCAACGCCTAGTAGTGACTAAAAACGTTAAGCAAAAACAATTTTGTAGTTACAAGAATTGTCCGTGTTTATAACACTTGCAAAGTCTTAAACTGCAATTTGTTGTCATCAATTGGTAATGATTTTGCACATGTGCAAAAGTGTGGAAATTCGTGCAAATTCTCATCAGCAGGCAGACGTAGGTTTCTTGAACGATGGTGCAGACATTTAACTGATCGTTAGGCCTATCACGTTTCTTGACCCGCCTCCATTCTTGTTGTCTTGACCTAATGGTTTTGTTAAGGTACACATCAAATCGCAGCAATATGTAATAAATATAGCGAGTGTAAATGGCATAATTCGAAGCACATCGCTTCGGATGCATCGTTTGACCCCGGAAATAAGTCTGACAAATCCACACAGCGCGCCCGGCCTGCTGATTGGCAAAATTGACGCATGCGCCAGTTTTGATTGACTGACTGGATCGGTCTATTTATCATCCAAAACTGTGTTCCACAGTAGATATCGCTTGTGTGAGATCAGACGATATCTCCTAGGAGATATCGTTTGGACAGTAGATTTTGTACAATGCCCTGACAATGCAATGACGTCATGAACTTGTTGACGTCACAATGTTATGACATCGCTGCACTGCAAATCTAATGTCAGTACTGTGTTCAGAGATGTACATTTTTCATTGAAAACTAATAAAGAGTGATTTTTGATGATAAATAGAATCTCACCCTCGTGTCCCCTGATATCAAATATATCAACACTCGTTGATAAAAGTACAAAAATGTGTTACTTTGTCAACTCGTGGTGATATATTTGATATCAAAAGACACCTGGGTGAGATTCTCTATATATTTCCCCAAAAGCCAAGACTGTAAGTACGCGCGAAACAACCAACCTGAATAACAAGACAGTCGATGATGACCATAACTGAATGTTATGTTATGTTCTGACACGATCTGTGGGTGAAAGCATAAACTGCGATCGTGGTATATGATAACATATTATGGGTATTATAAGTGTATTATAAATACTCTGGTACCATTCCTTACAATGCATAGCTTCGTCAATTGAAACAGAACCACGAAACATTACCATTAGGGGCGTCATGACTCGGTTCGGTTCATCGAAAATCGAATCGCTAGATGTACGATTCGATCTCGATTTCAAATTCATCCATTTCGATTCGATTCGTAAAGTACTTACTTTCTAATACTGAGAGTCTATTTCACCTGAAATCGTAAGAAATTATGTTGAAAATTCGCTGCTACAAGTGTGGCCAGTGAGAGGTTATTCTCTACTGCCGGAGACATTGTAAGAGACCAGAGGGCATGTCTTTCAAGTGAAAATTCTTGCACAGAACATGATCATTCCAAATGACTTACAGTGACATTACAGTCACAATGAACACTTGACACCAGAGTTCGTGACTGAAACTTAATGTCATGATCACTTGTTCAGTGAGTATTTGTTGACAACTTGTCTTGACAGTGTTCTAATTGAGCATTGTGCCAAATTTCCAAAGTTTGCCAAATTAAACTGATATTACAACAAATTTGACTTTGTCCTCAGCTTTGGTGAATCGAATCGAAATTAATCGTATCGAATGGAAGTGAGAGTGAATCGTGACACCCCTAATTACCATGATACTAAATGAGTGCTGGCATTTATAAACTGAAAACAAGCCATTTGGCTGGAAAGGAATATTACAGCTGTGATAAAAACTGCAAAGAGCGCTTTCAAGTACAATTTACCAATATCTAAGCGATAATTATATTATTATTGAGTTTGGATTGCCTGCCCCGAGTGAATAGATACTGTTAACCCCTAACTCCTGGCGACATTTAACTGGGTCGTATTAGAGCGGAAATGAAAGATCCAGTTCCGCGTTGTTCAGATGTCACTTTGTGACATCATGGACCATAGGCGGATATAGGAATTTTTAAAAAGGGGTGGGGGGTATTCAGGGTTAGACCCCTGAACCCCCATTGGCTCCGCCAACGCAAAAAAGTCTTCAATGTGGCCTTAAGTCATTTGGGGGGGACCCCCTGCTCTAAAACCGCTGAACTGCCCTCTGGATATAATGAGGTCAACTGATATAATATTATGTCATAAAGTGCTGACGTCATGTGGCATATATAGACGAATCAGCATTGAGAATAGGCAGTATTAAAGGTTGGATTGGTTTGTTGTTTAACGCCGCACTCAGCAATATTCCAGCTATATGGCGATTTAATAACATGCATTTCATAATATAAAGTTATTACTCCCAAAGAAGAGTGAAGACAGTACCGACTCAAATTGTGCCGATTGTTTCCGGGGTTTTATAATATCCGTGGCGACACGGACCTTGATTTTATTAAAAACTCAGTGATGTTTATCGCCGATCATGACTTTTTCTCGAAATGAGCAGTTCGCAATATTTGTTAATAAGGAATTAATGTGATATTCCTTTAAATAGACCGGTATGTTTTCACTTGATAAGCATCAGCACACATGCAGCTGTGTCCGTTTATCATCTCGATGTTTCGTGACATGTTCCATGCATAGGCCCCCACTGCGGGTCAGAAAATCGATAAACTAGGCCCCGGTTTAGTATCCACACCTCCTACTATAAAAGTAGGCCCCGTTTTTAGTATCCACACCCCCTACTATAAACTATATACTATATATAGGGGTAGGTGGGTGAGGGCATATGGTTCCATGGTGTGAATGCAAAGCGTAAACTTGACCCCGTCTCGCATAGTGTAATAAACGCAAGTTAGCGCGCGTAAACGGAGCCGGGAACCAGCTTACGCAAAGCACATGAACTTTAACCTTTGTCCCAGATACGCGGATCCGATCGCGAAAGTCGTTGCTCAATCCTGCAGTTTCACTCCTCAAAGATGACAACGGCATTTTCAAGGTAACTATCTTGCATGCAGAAACAAACTATTTGCATGTCGATGTATACATCAGATTTCACCTATATCATACTCTGACTAGCGTGATCAACAACGTATATTGTTCAAGGCAACGAGACAACCATTGCTCTACCGTAATGTTTCCATTAAAAGTGCGATTTGCATTTATTTTGACTTTTTAATTGTGTCATAATTGCGGTAGGTAAATAGTCAAATCTGGACCACACAATCCAGTGACAGAAATAAGCATCCCGTACGGGGGATGTGGGGATTATTAAACGAAACGACCCGCTTCATACATGTATTGGGAAATATGGATATGTTTTGTAGCAAGAATGGCGTAATATTTAACACGAATATATTGCCTTTATCATGTTTTATCTCGTATGTTGCGTGAAGCATCCTATTGACCTGACGGTGAAGTTGGTTGGTAGAATGTATACGGCGTCATGTATTCCAGATCAGTTAAGGCAAACTTTGTTGGTCTAAGAGACGACGAGCTCAAGAGACCGGTTCGGTTATACTTGGTCGATGTCATTTGATTGAGGTTCATGTTGCCAATCACTGGATCGCCTGGTCAAGACTCAATTATTTACAGACCGCCTTTCACAGCAGATAATTGTTGCAGAGTGCGGCTTTAAACAACAAACATAACAAGTGTTTAAAAGTCAAACATATTCGTTAACTTCAGGGAAGTGCTATATTTCCAGCGTAGTTCAGGGACAGCAGCAGCAGCATAGTCATCGTCATCATCATCATCATCATCATCATCATCATCATCATCATTTGATAGCCTTTTCATTTTACAGTAAAAAAACCGATTGGTCCATATTGTTTGTTCTACATACTAAATATTTTATAAAATTGGCAAAATTGAAACGCACCTTTCTCATGGGAAACAAATACTTCCGTTCTGAAGTACTCATAGATCTACACTGTCACACGAAGACACGCTGAACATTTGGGATACATACATTTGTAATTACCTCAATTCAGAGCCAGGACCCTTATTCTCGAAACGTTCGTAGTAGTGGTGTGACGATTCATCGATAAGCATCGATACATCGATCCATGGGCCGCCGATACAGTGAATCGATACAAAATTTTACATTGTCGTATATCCCGATACGATACTTCAAATGTGCAACGATACATCAATGTTTCACTTTGGATATTGCCGAATCGCCATATCTGTCAAGAAAAAGACTCACTTTTGTTTGATGATTAAAATATTTGCTTACTTATTTTCCCTTCATAAGTAAACGTTCTCTCGGAAATTCTTGCGTCAAGAACTGTGTCAGGCAGCGCTCACATGTTATTATCATTCACAAAGTCCGTGTATAAACTTAATTATCTCGTTTCCGAATGAACATTGAAAAACGCTGGCGGAATTTGACGAAATACTTTAAAATGGTTTTGTTTTGATCCTAAGGTCTTTTATAGTTGGTGTTAGAATTAAATATTTTAGTATCGTGATGTGTATCGTATCGTCACCCTTATATCGGGATTCGTATCGTATCGCAGCTTCAGTGCACGATACTTTGGCAATATATCGTCGTGACTAACATTTTAGCATCGTGATGTATCGTATCGCAGGTTGTATGCCAATACCAGCACTAGTTCGTAACCCTAGGAATTCTCAACTTTGATAGTAGCCAATGTGTTAAGAATGGGCTTAAGAAGTTCGTAGAGCTACGAACATTTCGAGAATAGCTAGCCTGAGCCCATATCACTGTGGCGAGGAGATAGAGGTTTAGTCATAACTTTGTACTGATTGGTATGGTGTAATTCTGTGTACGGGAAGATAATCCCGTTGGTCTTTACCAATTATGATGATGTATCGACGAGAGTTATTTCCCTGGAGAAGATCGAACCGCATTGGTTGAGGCTGTATGAGCGAATTCACGTTGTTTGTTTCGTGGTATGAAATATTTACACATTTTATCAAACCCGTGATTCCTGTATTCAATGTAATGTATCATTCTTAGGAAATGAATTTTCTATTTTGTTCGAGTTATTTTGGCCTAGGCACATACAATGATTGTTGCATGACAGCGCTTGATAATTATATTGAGCTTTTTTTGTTGTCCAATAACATTTGTTTATCTGATCGAGTAACCTAAGTTGATATTTTCATGCTTATTCTACAATATATGAGCTAAATATCCTCTTTATTTCAGAATTATTAAACAGCTTGGATATGAGAGAATACTACTGGCGCCCAACTCAGGACGAGTTATCATTCCTGGCTTGCCTTACTCAGCCTTTGACGCGCAATGTGAGTCTGTCTGTTTGTCGTATGGACTGGAACGACCAAATGAAGAATGTGGTTAATGACGGATGCACTATATAGTACTATTTGAAATTTATGAACTGGAATCGTAACAAAATGTGAGAAGATAGCGTGACTGTCCTCACACTACAAACTGACAAGGCATGTAATGTTACTGAACAGCGTGAAACCATATTCAGTCACTCTCAAACTTCGAGTAACCACAAACTACGGTATTTCCTGTAATAAGCGCGGGGTATCAAATAAGCGCCGGGGGGTAAAGTAGCTCACTAACAAATTAACAATTACGGTAATTACACACAGTAAGCGCAAAAATCGTCGGGTCTGGAAGCCCTGGCGCTGATTAGTGGAAATACGGTATATACTATATCAGTACATTGCGTTGATAATCGCAGCGTTCGTTCATTGGCTAGTGTGGGGCGGTGGGGTAGCCCAGTGAGCAAAGCGTTCGCTCGTGACGCCAAAGACCCGGGTTCGATTCCCCACATGAGTACAATTTGTGACGCCCATTTCCCAAATGCCTTGATATTGCTGGAATATTGCTAAAAGCGGCGTAAAAGTAACCCTCACCTACTAGTAAATTGGATAGAGCGTTTGCATATTGAGGGTTTTTGTTGGTCGTCCGATCCCCGGCCGCATCATACCAAAAGACGTTAAAGATGGTACTTGTTGTTGCCAAGCCTGTCGCTCGGTATTAGGGGGTAAACAAGGACTGGTCGGTTCTAGGTCAGAATACAGTGTCTGAGTGTGGTATGTTGTGGCATCAGTGTTATCCTGACGCATGGTTTGTGAGTTTGGTTGTACCACGTTTGTAGCAATATTCTAGAAATATTACGCCGGAGGTTGCCTGAAATGGGCTTCACACATAGTACCCATAAAACCGCAATCCGGCATACTCCGGACTACCAGATATCTTTCTGTGAGGCTATGAGAGTTTCATTCATATGACAATCATCATAATCCAATGGCCAATGCCCATCTTCTGATTGGGAAGCTAGGAATGTGGGCCATTTCTTGGGGAGGCTTCGTTTAAATATTCTTCATTTGGCTATAACGGGGGGATTCCAGAATTTTGGGGGCATGCACATGCTCCTCAGGGGAAATTATTTCGGGGGTTAGAGCATTTCCCATTTCACCCACGTGGTTAGTGCGTTCGCTTGCCAAAACGCGAGTTCGATTGGCCATGTGAGTACGTGTAAAGCCTATTTCTGGTATCCTCCGTGATATTTCTTGAATATTTCTAGAGGCATCATAAAATCAAACTAACTCACTCACTCACTCTGTTGACAGCATTTCCGAAGCCTTGGTACGTGATGAATCTAATGGACTCCACACACATCTGTCTCATAGAGGCAGCTCACGGCAGGGACTCTTTACTCGGCCTTCATGAACTCTGCAGGAAATATCTCTCATTTAGCAGCACTGCACAAATGGACTTTCACGATAAACTCTACAATGAGTCTGTCGTCAAGGCCCCTCTGTGTCTCGACACCCACATCAGCGACGTCGGGAACAGCAGCTACGTCATGGAAACGGAGATGAAGGCGGCCGAAATTCCGTTGGCACGATATAGAAGTCAATTAGTCCTAGTGGATACCACTTCTCGAAAGCCGATTAAGATTCCCCAACAGTGGAAGGATACATACGGGCATTTGTATGAAGGAGGCCAGCCAATGAGGTTCCACGCTTTAGAGAAGCCATGTGACCAGTCACGTGTAATCAAAGTATCAGTAGGGGAAGTACCTAACAGCGATACGGACGGAAACGGCCATCTTAATTTTTCAAATTATTTGAAATATTGTTGTGATGGTTTAGTTAAAAGGGAGAAACGCCAGACCAACTCGAGCTTACCCATTCGACCTTTATTACTCAAATCTGCTTCCATGTGGTACCGGAAAGAATGTAACGATGGCGATGACCTTGAACTTGAGATATGGGAACACGAAAAGCAAATGGACAGTTTGTGTGTAGACATGTTGAGAAATGGGGACAGTGTATTCCAGTGTAAAATGGAGCTATACAAGGCAAAGCATGTTAGAAGCTCTCTATGATTTAGGATTTAGTTTAGTTTGATTAAATGAAATCACTGTTCATAACTGTGTTGTGAATGTTTTGTACCTTATCAATGTAAAATGTACTGGCATCAGAGAGTTTGGATCTGAGCGGCCATTTCCTGAGGTTAAAACAGAACAGTTCTAGATACAACATATTTCTGCAATAGATGCAAACACGAACTTCATTGACTACTTAAGGGTCAATATTTCCTGGATTGTACCCCAGAACAATCACTAATGTGAAAGCTTGGCAACAGTAACTGTAATCTCAACCAGTCACAGACAGACCCGTGAAGACCCTGGTTAGACCCTGGTCTTCAGCAACCCACGTTTCTAGTAAGAGGCGACTAAGGGACCGTTCATGATTGATGGCTAGGGGGCAGTGATGATGATTTTTATAGAGAAGCATGTACATTGTGAATGCAACATTGCAACACCATCGTTGCTGCCATGTAACGTCTGGCTGACGTCGTTGATTCGCGTCGCCCGGCGGTATCTCAGCCATACCTGGTGACCAGCATATTCAGAACCCATTCAGCAATGTACTAGCAATATAAATGTTTGCAATGTACAGCCCATATTAGTGCATTTACCCGAGGCATCATCAACCGTTAGGGCGCACAGAATTTAAGAAAAGAAACACTTGTCGATTGAAATAACAACGTCAAGATTGAAACATATTAATGAAAGATGTATTTAGTATCTGTCACAAGACCTTGGCAAAGTCTGTTTGGTAATGTTGTTTAATGGAGGTAACCGCGCAAGACTGCTTTGCATATACAAACATTTTATACCCCACAACGCGTGTCCGTTCGTGTAAATTTGTCTTTTCCGGAGCAGAACTTTAAGACCGTTCAGTGTTTCTTCACCAAACTTAGCACATAGATAGGTCTGGTGGTGAACTGGTGCCCTTTAGTAGATTTGGATTTCTGACTAAGATTTATTTTTACATTTCCATGGCAACAGATTTTACTTTGACTTAAATTGGTGGTAGTGCCCTTTCCGGAGCAGAACTTAAAAACCTTTCAATACTCTAATTCCACTCTGAGGGTATTCAAGAACCTAATAACATAAATGAAGAGTACCACTCTATTTCTGTAGCCGCATTACTGAGGTACATCAACCCGTTGAAGCAGTCTGTTGTTGATACAAGCATGTTAGTATATGCATAGTTTACATATGTATGTTTTCGATATATCAATGTGAAGAACAATGTAACATTTGACATAGTCATAACCTAGTTGACATATATATGAATAATATTTTACCATTACGGGGGATACTGATGACTGTGTCTTCATGTTTAGTTTGTATTGTCACAAAACCAACTGAAGCGTCATACAATCAACGCCCTTGCCCCAGCCACTGAATAAGAAATGATAATATTTGTGGTTTGCGTGTCCGAATCGTGCACGGGCTGAAACCGAAACCTCTCTTTCTTTCACTGTCGTATCAATGTAACGTTTTGGTGAACTACAAATCGGATTTGAGACCCCTGAAGAACCGGGTTAGAATTGATCTTCAGTAACCCATGCTTGTCGTAAGAGGCGATTAACTGGATCGGGTGGTCAGGCTCCCTGACTTAGTTGCCACACGTCATCGGTTCCCAATTGATCGATGCTCCGCGTACACCTGGCTGTCCCTTTCTCTGCACTCCTCCCTCGTACCAAATAGTGAACTGTGTAAATATTTCAATGATAGTTTTATTTTTACGACATAAATTCTGCCCCAAAAAAACTCACAGAGTTGGTCTGATGTTTTGTTATGATCAGCGTTTCATTGAGTATTATATGTTTATCAGTTTTCGAGTTAGATCGCAGTTCATCGGTCCGCTTTTGAGCCAAACGGACCATAGGCAAAACTGTGGATAACAAGCGAACATATAATGTATGAAGGCCTGTATTTTTCTGCTGCAACTTTTGTGTCCTCAGAATGCCATTTTATCTTGTACTTTTAATTTAATGGAAATGTAGTTCAGTTCAGACAAGGAAAAAACAAATTTATTATAATCAGATGTTAGTTCTTGCTGTGGCTAAACATTTAACGGTTTAGAACATCACTTTGATGAGCCTGAGGGAAGACCTATGAGACTTTAACAACACTGCACGATTTCAGTCACCGGAATGTATGGTCTGCACCCTATTGCGAGTCGAAGGAGGCAAGTTGTAAGTCTGTGTTAGACACTGGACCTTGTGAGCCGATCAGATGTCACTTTTTAAGATTCAGACATTTTGATGACTAATGGAGTGGCTCGAGCGTTTGTCGTCACACCAAGACCAAGGATGAAAAGCATGAAGCCCATTTGTGTTGCCTTGCCATGGTGTTTGTGAGTTCTTACATTATCTCACTGTTGGGGGTAGAGGATTTAAAACTTTCAACTCGATCCAGTGGTTTCAAAATGTCCTTTAATCACAAGTTACAAGCTTTTCTTATGACACTTCTTCTAAATTCAATCCACACAATGAAAAAATAACAGTACCTAAACACTAACTTAACAGTGACTAGACAATGACTGGATAGGGGCTGGACAGTGGCTGGACAGGTTGAAAAACTGTATGTCCTCTAAGCCCACAACACACAATCCTATAACACTTTCTTAGAAACTTAAAAACATGTCTTACTTCTTCAGTATCTTAAAGCTCTCTGCCTCTCTCTGGGGCGGTGGGGTAGCCTAGTGGGTAAAGCGTTGGCTCGTCACGCCGAAGACCCGGGTTCGATTCCCCACATGGGTACAATGTGTGAAGCCCATTTCTGGTGTCCCCCGCCGTGATGTTGCTTCAGTCCTGGAATATTGCTAACAGCGGCGTAAAACCAAACTCACTCACTCACTCTGCCTCTTTCTCACACTCTTCCGTTCCACATGTGTCTCTTAAATTCTTTGTCGGTCACTTATCGTTGTTGATCAGGTCAGAACCCATAGGACCCCACAAATACAATTAGTCTATAAGTCTTAGTTACAATGGTATATCACAGCTCGGACATCTGCTGGCAGCAGGGGCTGGCAGATTCTTATGTCTCAACTAATATATATATACTAAGTAATCACATGCAGCCTCTCACACACAAACCCTAACAAAGTTACAAATATAATATTTTGTATGTACAACAAATGCCTAAATTCGGCTCTAACAATGTTGCTCAGTCACTCCCAGGCTAGGCAATATTTCCCCAACAGAATGTAAATTCGCACTATACATCCAACCTGAAGGACAAATGCATCCAACAAGACACGTGGACGTTGGCAGTGGCCAAATTTTGTTTATGACGCAATCTGTGCTTTCCAAACTTATTGGGACAGCCTGTTGATTATCGTGCCTCGGCCAGCCAGGCCCCACGTGGGTACAATGTGTGAAGCCCATTTCTGGTGTCCCCGCCGTGACATTGCTGGAATATTGCTAAAAGCGGCGTAAAACTAAACTCACTCACTCACCCAGCCAGGTCAGTGGAAGAAAGCATAAACTGCGATCCAGGTATATGATTATCACTTATCAAGGGTATCCGATTTTTTTATCTATTGTTGCATGACATATACTACAGTACCATTCCTTACCATAGCTTCGTTTTGGCCCGAAGCGACTGGAATGACCCTAGTAGTTATGTACAGTCATCGTCACAAGAACTAAAATCTCGTTGATTAATTAAGGAAGACAGCTGTATGTGTGATGATATTTATAAAGTGAAAATATGCCATTCCGATGAAAATTAATATTACAGTAACGGTGAAAAATGCAAAGAGTGCTTTCAAGATGCATTTTCTTACCTTAAAACATTATAATCGAGTTTAGATCGCATGGTCTGCCCCGATTGAATTTATGGTGTGAATTCCCGAACTCCTAGCGATATACATGCAGGATTCATTAACCGGGTTTGACTAAGTTATTCTATATATTACTCCCCGTGGCATTTTAGTGGTTCATATCAGAGCGAATATTAATATGAAATATCAGCCCTACTGAGAAACTCCATTGAAAGCGCCCCATTGTTCAGATGAGGTATACAGTAATGTAATAGTTTGTGACGTCATGAACAAATCTCAATGAAGTGCTGACGTCATATGGCATAATTGGACGAATCAGCATTTAGAATCGCCACGTTATTAAAGTGATCGCCTCTCTCAAATTCATGAACGGTACCTTAATGGAACTTTGGTGGACTGGTATGTTTTCACTTCATAAGTATCAGCACACATGCAGCTATGTTCGTTAATCATCTCGATGTTTCCTGGCTGATGTTGCATGGTGTGACGCGAGACTAACGCTTAGTCTGTGAATATACATAATTTTGATGCTAACAAATAAACCCATTTTAATTGAAAAGGAGCCCCAGTGAGATGTGGAATTCCTGAACCTGAGGAAATGTGGACTTGCTTCATCTTGGGCTTTAGCACTGCAGGGAGGGCTAGGCAGTAGGGAAAATAATGTGGTTCAGGGACTGTGAGACAGACTACATTGCAGGGAGGGCTAGGCAGTAGGGAAAATAATGTAGTTCAGGGATTGTGAGACAGATAAAGTGTGACACCACCATACGTGATATTACGAGACGAGCCGAAGGTCTTGTGCAGTTTACAGAAAGGGACGAGTGGGGACGAATGCTAAACGACTTGCACGTGAACTTTAACCTTTGACCCAGATACGCGGAGCCGTGAAAGTCATTGCTCAATCCTGCAGTTTCACTCCTCAAAGATGACAACACGCTTTTCAAGGTAACTATCTTGTATGCAGCAACAAACTATTTGCATGTCGATGTATATACATCAGATTTCACCTATATCATATTATGACTAGCACGATCAACAACGTTGAATGTTGTTGGGGGTGAGCCGGACATTGCCTTACCGTAATATTTCCATTGAAGGTGCGGATTTGTTTTGTGTTGATATTTTTTCTTGTGTCGTGCCGCGGTAGACAAATAATCAAGTCCGGACCACACAATCTAGTGACAGAAATAAACACCCCTTGGAAGCGGGTACGCAGGCGGATTATTAAAAGAAACGACCCGCCTAATAATGCGAAATATGGATATATTTTGTAAAAGGTAGACACCTATTTCCTCACAGGGTTGTGCTCTCAGATTTCCAACGTAATATTTAATGATTACTCGCGTAAAATATATTTTTTCAACTTTTAAAAAAAAATTTGCAAATTGAAGCGAGGGAAGCTTCTCTCTTGAGCAGCTTAATTTGCGCTAGTTTGCCCGTACCTCAATAAACAGGTCCGAGGACTTGGTTGATGCCATTTGATGGATGTTCTTGATATCAATCACTGGATTGCCTGGCCAAGATTATTTACAGGCCGCCGTCACACAGCAGATAAATGTTGCTGAGGGCGGCGTTAAACACAAAACACAAAATCTAAAAAGTCACAAGTCTTTAAAAGTAAAACCCACATAGTGGTTAACTCCAGGGACTGTATTTTTATTGCGGGCGTGGTCACGCTTAGAAACGTAGTTCATGTCTTTCTAACGCTGAGCCACAATAACGTAGTTCATCAACAGCAGCAGCAGCATAGTCGTCGTCATCCTCATCATCATCATTATGATCATCATCATTATCATCTGACAGATGTTTTGAAAGAAGAATTGCAACTGATAGCTGAATTATAAATGACTTTCCTGCCTAGCCAAATGCCCAGGGTACTTAAATATGCTGAAATGTTGCCTAAGGATTTGTGATAACCTTTTCATTTTACAGGATATGAACTTCTTTTCCATATTATTTTATATACAGATTAAATGCTTTCTTTATTGACAAAATTGAACCGGACCTTTCTCAAGGGAAGCGAATACTTGTAATATTCTTTCAAAAGACCACAATATAGGCTCAATGGGGCAGCCCAGTGGTAAAGCGTGGCTCATCACTCATGAGAATCCCCAATACGGGTACAATGTTGAAGCCCATTTCTGGTGTATCATGTCGGCGTAAAACCTTGTCAGAGTATCAATATATGTGGAATATCATGTCGTCTTGTTTAATACAGTCGCCCAAATCCACTTTTTACAGAACTTTAAAATCTTTTTCCATACAGAGCAATACCTCGACGATATTAATCTTAGAAAATTCCACGTTTTATTATCCAGCTTTAGATGCTCTTCACATGATCTTATGATCGAGAAGGGCAGATATTATAATATACCAAGAGAATACAGATTGTGCAAAGTTTGATGAATTCCACTTTTGCTGTTATGTCCTTGAAGACTGATTTAAGGAGTTCCAATATTTACGGCACATTACTATTCATGTCCTTCCATGTTTATACTGATTTTATAATGGACAAAATATACACCTTATATGTATACTTGTATGTATATCCACCATGCTTTTGAACATAGAAAATAACGTTTGCAAACATTGTGATTGTATGCCATTATTGTTCACATACTCCCTACTATAGGCCTGTGGCCTCTTCAGTAATGGAATAAAGAGAGTTGAGTGTAATTGCCTCATTTCAGAGAAAGGACCCATATCCATGTTGCAATGGTGTGTGTGTGTGTGTGTGTATGTGTTTGTGTGTGTGTGTGTGATAAGCGATGACTTTGTTCTGATGGGTTATAGGGTAATTTTGGGCACGGTCCAGGGGAGATTGGTCTTTACCAATTATGATAATGTATCGACGAGAGTTACATCCCTTGAGATGATCGATCCGTTTCGGGGATTTGACAAACATTATTTGTTTCGTGGTATGAAATGTGTACATTTATTATTCAATTCAAATTCTTTATTACAGAAGTGTAGGCCATCGGCCCATAACTTCATAGGTTACATTTATTGGCAAAACATTTTTATGATTCCTGTATTCAATGTAATGTATCATTCATAGGAATTTTTTTCTGGAAGTTATTTTGGCCTAGGCCCATAATGATTGTTGCATGAATGATACCACTTAATAATAATGTTTAGCTGTTTTATCCAGTCACATTTGTTTATCTGATCGAATAACCAAAGTTAATATTGTCGTACAGGGTGTGAGTTAAATATCCTCTATATTTCAGAATCATTAAACAGCTTGGATATGAGAGAATACTACGCGCGCCCAACTCAGGACGAGTTATCGTTCCTGGCTTGCCTTACTCAGCTTTTGACGCGCAATGTGAGTCAGTATGTCTGTCGTATGGACTGGAACGAATATATGAGTGTGAGCAATAGAAGGAAGAATGTGCTTAAAGTAGGATGCACTCTATATAGTACTTGTTAACATTTTACAAACGTAATGAAATGTGAAAAGTTAGCTTGCCTGCATTCAGAATTTCAAACTGACATGCCATGAGGTTACTCTTAAACCATACTCTTAAACCGTACTCAGTGACCCTGGTCAAATATCGAGTAACCACAGTGAGTGAGTGAGTGAGTTGAGTTTTACTCCGCACTCAGCAATATTCCAGCTATATGGTGGCAGTCTGTAAATAATCGAGTCTGGACCAGACAATCCATTGATCAACAGCATGAGCATCGATCTGCGTAATTGAGAAGAGTAACCTAAGACATATAAAATATTAATACATTGTGTTGATAATCTGAGCGTTCGTTCATTGGCTACTGAAGGACGATGGGGTAGCCTAGTGGTTAAAGCGAAGACCCAGGTTCGATTCCCCATATGGGCATAGTGCGTGCCGCTCATTTCTGGTGACCCCCGTCAGGATATTGCTGGAATATTGCTAAAAGCGGCGTAAAATTAAAACCCACTTCCTCATTAGGTAGTGAAGTGGATAGAGCGTTTGCCTGTTTAGGGTTAGGTTGATCGTTCGATCCCCGGCCGCATCATAACAAAATACGTCAAAAGATGGTACTTGTTCTTACCGTGTCTGGCGCTCGGCATCACGGAATAAAACAAGGTCTGGTTGGTTCTAGGTCTAGGTTCTAGGACCGCTTCATGGGGAGGTTTCGTTTATGTAATCGTTTAGTTATGAGGTGCAATCTGAACCTCCTGTGCATCAACTTCTGTAATTCCTAGTGCCTGTACCCATGTAGATCCGGGTTAGAATTGATCTTCAGTAACCCGTGCTTGTCGTAAGAGGCGACTAACGGGATCGGGTAGTCAGGCTCGCTGACTTGGTTGACACATGTCATCGGTTCCCAAATGCACAGGTCGATGCTCATGCTGTTGATCACTGGATTGTTTGGTCCAGACTCGATTATTTACAGACCGCAACCATATAGCTGGAATATTGCTGAGTGCGGCGTAAAACTCACTCACTCACCAAGTGCCTGTTACGTTGTTCCAGAAATACCCGTTAGCAATACTCCCTGGTGCACATTCAAGACGCTTTTTAATGATCCCCTTACCTGTCTGCATAAATCACGCGCGCACGCACACACGTACTTGCATGTCGCCATCATAAGTACAAACACATTGGATTAATCCCATTTTACCATCAACCATCTATCTGGATCGATAGGGTAGCATTAGAATAGCCCGCTTCTTATCACGACCAAAACCTGAGTTCGATTCCCCTTCACGTGAGCATACGCGCGCGCAGCCAGTTTCTGGCATTGAATGTTTGAAGCCAGCATAAACCAGCATGTTCAACTCACACAACCTCTCTGTTTAGCCTACCCGAAGCCTTGCTGATGAGCGTGGTTAATCTAATGGACTCACGCAGATCTGTCTCTTTACGGCTGAAGTTGATGGCGGAGACTCACCTACTGGCTTACAAGATCCTGCAGGCCATCAGTCATTTTTCACTGCGGCGTAAGTACCCTTTCAACGATAAATTGTAATGATAAGTCTGTCGTCAGTTCTCTGTAACCACCCACATCAGCAACGCTCTAGCAGCAGCATACGTCATGGAAACGGAGCTGAAGGCGGGTGAAAATCTGGGTTGACACTGTTAAGAAATCAAATAACCCTAGTGGATACCCACTTCTCGAAAGCCGATTAAGATTCTCCCCCAACAGATGGATAGGATGCTACGCACCGTATGAAGGAGAGACCACAATGAGGTTCCATCGTTTTGAGAAACCATCTGACCAACCGTGTAAGTTGCTGTCAGAAGTACCAAACAGCGATACGTGGACGCAACTTCCATCTTTAATTTTTCAAATTATTTCAGAAATATTGTGATGTGCATTTGGTTAAAGTGGGAGAAACGCCAGACCAACTTGGGCTCCCATTTAACTGACATTGACCGTTATTCCAAATCTGCTTTCTGGTACCGGAAAGAACGTAACGATGGCGGATGACCTTGAACTGGATATATGTAGAACACGAAAAGCACCGGACAGTTTGTGGTATAGACGCCGTTATAATGGGGATATATACCACAGTGTATCGCTGGAGCTATACAAGGCAAAGCATAGCTCTCTGAAGCCTTGCAGTATATAGTTTGATTTATCAGAATCAACTGTTAATAACATTACATGTGTTGTGAATAAGTTTGTATTTCACGTAAAATATACTATGCAATCGAGAAACGGGATCTGAATCTGGCCAGTTGGCTAATGTTTGGGTAACAGAACAGTCCTAGGTACAACATATAGCATTAGCCAGATGCAAACACGAACTTTCACTTTGATCCATTAAGGTTAGAATTGATTCTTTCAGTAACTTATGTTGTCGTAAGAGTGACATACCGGATCGGGTCATCATCAATCATCGCACATAATCGTATGGCAACTGCACAGTGAACGATGCATTCATCTGTTTATCACCGGATTGATCAGTCCAGATTTTGATATTTGCCAACCGCCGCCATAGCTGAATAATATTGTGAAATGCGGCGTTAAACAACAAACAAACACATCTCGACCAGACAGACAACAGATCGGGCGTTTAATATTGCCACGACATCGCGTTGTTGCCGTGTTACGCCTGGCTGATTGTTGGGACTGTCGTCGCCCCAGCAGCAGCATCTTCAAGTATAATCGTGCCGATATAGAACGTACAGCCAATATTCTTAGCAATATATATACATGCTTGCAGTATACAATTTCATATATCAATGAATAACATACCCAAGGTTATCAGCCATTAAGGCGCGTACAGGATGCGTGATACAGCATTTTGATCGATTAAAGTAACAATGTCAAGATACATAAAGAATATGAATATGTATTTAGTATCTGTAAGACTCGCCACAAGTTTGGTAATGTTTCTTTTCATGGAGGTACACCCCGCGAGCAGAGATTCATATATACTTCCTGATTTTGTATTTTCAATAAACCAAATGAAGCGTCATAAAATCAACGTCCTTTGTCCCAGCCACCGAATATAAAAAGTTATAATAATGTTTTTTTCTTTCGTAGAAGGCGTCACGCTGGAACCGCCGAAACCCTATTTCCTTCACACGTATGGGTGTGTAACGTTTTGCAGAAGCCACAAATCGGATCAAAGAGAGACCCTGAAGATAATAGGGTTAGCTATCTCTTCACCTTCACCCATGCGTTGTCGTCAGAGGCGACTAACACTATCGGGTGGTCAGGCTCGCTGAGTAGGTTTTTCGCCGGCTATTACGTCATCGTATCCCAGTTGGCGATCGATGATCAGCGCCGTTGATCACTGGATTGTCTGGTCCACGATCATTTTTTACAGACTGCCGCCATATATTGGACTATTGCTGAGTGCTATGTAAAACAAAACCATTCACTCACTCACTCACACAATGGATCTGAACCCGCACCGCCGGAACGTCACGATCTGAGAGGTGGGTCATTTTAATCAAGCGCGACACTGTTATAAAAAAAAAGAATTAATACAAGAAATCGATGTGGACCGACTGAGTGTGTTGATGTCTCCTGTTAATTTAATTTGAAAATATCCAAGCGATTTTACGAAGAAATTCTCCTCCTCTTATTTCACATTGACACGCAACATGTGCTGTCAGAGTCCATAGCTGTTTAACCGCCATAAACATACACACACAATGCATGAGCCTTGAGTCCAGAATCTTCTGTCCCATCGGTATTGCATCACACAAAAGCGGGTATAACAAAAGCGGGTATATACACGACAAAAAGTTTAGTTTCTGTTGCTGACTTAGATTCTTTGTTCAGACTGTTCATTATAGAAACAAACAAATTGACAACAATAGATCCCATAACCACATACACATAGTAAAACAACGTAACATTATACTTCCCCTTGCATACCGTGATTTACCAATTTACCCGTCGTGTTTACTTCTGCTTGGTTCGCCTTCTTCAGTCGCCTGTCACGATAAACAGGAGATTTCTCTAAAGCGCCTCTTCAGAACATTGAACCATAACCGGTTATTCATATCCTCCGGTACAGGTGATGTATTGATGAGGTTACCATGGCTAATACGATGCTGCGGCACGATACGACAGCACTGTGTCCTTTCCTTCAAGGCAAGGGGCCCGACGCGATATGATACAAAACGCTGGTCATGTTAAGAACCTAAGGGAGAGACCTCATCTGGGGGTACCTGCAGGTAATGAGAATACCTCCTCTTTAATTATACAGTAAAAGTAACATATTCGCATTACCGCTTTTCGACCAGGTAAGTTGCACTGTTTCGTCTATGCCTGTATGTCTAAAAGATAAATAAATAATCTCCCTTCTGAGAGAAGTTTTGATATATGCGGGTAGATATTGCGGAGGAAGGAGAGAAGTTCGATCGCACACAGAGCCGCATTAACATTTCGAGTATGTCCACAAGGCGAGGTCACCAAAATGTAAACAAATATTGGCTTAAATACATATGACGACTAGATAGGGGCGTCTCATCTCATGCGTTGTTGTTTACCTATAAATCGTAAAACTTATGTCGCGGTCAATTGTACAACGCTAAAACCGTGTCCCTACAAGCTGACACGCCATGGGGACGCTCAGAGACGCTTGGGAGACCCTCTTACGCTGGTAAATGAGAGAAGAGAGCATCATGGAGGTTGCTGAGGTAAAACGGATGAAGATAAGACAGATTTGTAATACAGAATTATCATCATCGAGGTTTGACGGGTTCAACTCCACGAGTCGGCATCATCTCGAGCCAGCGACATGAAGGAGGATCCGCGTGGAAAACGGTTCAATACCGAAATACAGGTAGGTTATTGGTTATTGATTAGCACCGATTTGTTATCGATTAGCGCGATATGTTACCATGATTGTGTGGATGTTAGCCCGTCACCGAAAGCCGACAGGGATTAACCAGAGTGTTTGATCATCTTTCAATATAGCATAGAAGGTAGGGCAGCAGCAGCTAACACTGCCGCTGCTACATCACGTACTACCACTACCACTACCACTACTACTACTACGGTACGCACTACTACTACTACTACTACGCACTTTACTAATACGAACACGACACGTACTACTAGACCGCCTCCGTGGTGGTGGAAAGCGTCCGCCCGGAGGAGCGGTACGGCAAGGATCCCCGACCACGTCATACCAAAAGACGTTAGTGGCGGTACTTGTTGGTCCTGGCCTGGCGCTTGCAGCATTAATGGGTACAACAAGGACTGGTTTCCACTCTCGAGCAGTATAATGCGTCTGAGTCGAGGGTATTCGTGCTCGAGGCCGCGGCATGGTATCTCGTGAGGGCGAAGCACCATAAAACCAGCTTCAGTCTGAAGCAGTAAGCACCTACACATACACAGGCACACAGTGAAGTCGCCGTCATATGAAATATTCTCAAGCACGACGTTGGAACCATCAATTTCACCACACAAATTCACTACTGACTATGACCTTGCTCCGAAGACCTCGTCATGAATAAGCCTGCCAGCATCTTAGTTGCTTCTGAATGCACGTACATGGTATAGCTAAGCCCATGCATATCACATGTATAGTATAATTTATCCTTCCAAAGAGGCTAGAATGAATCTAAATGTCGATGTTTATGAAAATGTTGAACAGAAATTATCATTTAAACTATTAATTATTACCTTAGAGACTTGTGCAAGTCTATTACTACCGCACAGCCAATAATACTACTAGTGTGGTCGCTGGAAAGATGGGGACAGGCACACAAATTTGTACGATAACAAGAAATACTTATTTATAAAAGATGGCTATCATGCGAACGAGGTGTTGATCGAGAGACGGTGTTATTCTAGCAATACAAGCCCTGTGCAAGCAGATGTAGCAGAGTGAGTTGTGTTTTACGTGCCGCTTTTGCAATATTCCAGCAATATCAAGTAACAAATCTGTTTGCAGGCAGAAGGCAGGGTAGTAGTAGAAACAGACCAGAAATTGCTGGGATGAAGTATAGAAGCAGCAAAGCAACAGCATTACATCAGCTAAAGCAGTAGTGTGGCTTCCAGCAATTGTATGTGTGTAGCGTTGTAGAAGGCATGCTCAGAAGCTTTGCAGGGGCATACTAGAAGCCTTTGTAGAGCGTTATACTAGAAGCCTTGTAGAAGGGCATACCGAAGCCCTTGCGGTATTGGGTGCATACCAGGAAGCCTTTACATGCATACTACTAGAAGCCTTGTAGAAGGGGCATACTAGAGTCTTTGTAGCAGGGGCATTTTCAGAAGCTTGTAGTAGGGCATACTAGAAGCATACGATGTAGAATGTTCCACAATAAACACACACACACACATTTATAACTGAACAAAACCATGGTATGATAGAACCATCCTCTGAAAACACGACAATCTAAATGAACCCAGTAACGCTGAGCTATGGTGGGATAATCAACGCTTAGTTTCTGAATACCACAAAACATTCACAATAATATAAGGTTAAGAAAATACA